TGCCTGAGTACACTATCATACTGGCTAAACATTTTAACATTTTAAGTTCAAGGAAGTTGCCCTGGTTTGAGCTTGTGGCAGACTTCTCATCACCCCTGAAAGCCTTCCCCTGCCATGCAAGATATAAAGTTACATCAATTAATCAAGTCAAAATTTGTTTCTCTTGCTCTCTATTTGAATTGCCTTGAACTGATCTGAGGGCGCATGGTGGCTTAGTGGATAGCACGTTTGCCTCACACCTCCAGGGTCCGGAGTTCCTCCGGGTACTCCGGTTTCCTCCCCCAGTCCAAAGACAATTGGCCATAGTGTATGAATGTGTGTGTGAGTGTGTATGTGATTGTGCCCTGCGATGGACTGGTACCCTGTCCAGGGTGTACCCCGCCTTGTGCCCCATGCTTCCTGTGATAGGCTCCAGGTTCCCCGCGAGCCTGAAGCAGGAATAAGTGGTTGAAGATGGATGGATGGATGAACTGATCTGATACCTCAAAAGCTGCTTGTAAAGCACTCTTTTTCTATGTGTTCCATCTCAACATGCTTGTTAAGTGGGCCTCTGAGTCTGCATGCTCTTGCATCTTTTCAAGTCCCTTTTTCCAGTTGTTTACCCCAGCCACTCTCCTTGTACTTGTTGTACTTTGGTTCATTAAGAAAAAGCAGATAGTTGAAACAGTACATACTGTTCTTTTCAGGTGAATAATCCAATCATGGCTTATTTTCATACCACGTCTTTTGAAATGATCAGCCTTCAGTTTTTTTGGGGTTGGCATATCAATGAACATTTTCACATAGGCAATTACACTTGAGATCAATAGCTTGGTTGTAGACGGGATCTGTTGGATACTTTAAGGATGCAATTTTTGATATGGCCTCTTCTACACTAGTCAGGTTTCTCAACCACATCCTCCTCTATTGCTTCCTCAAACTCAACATTATCACGATTCCCCTCCTGTGGCCTCTTCCTCTTAAGCACTGACAAGGATTTCCTGATCATCTTTGTCAAGTGTTGCCTCTGAAGTCTTTCAGTTGTGGCTTGAGAGATCTTTACTGCTCTCTTAGGTATAACACTTTCAACATCTGAGTTATGTGTTCTCTCTTGTGTTTTTCTTCTGGTACCTGGTTTAAACCATACTTTGCTACTGTTGGCAGTTTCCTGGCACTCCTTCTCCTTCTTTTCTGTACCATATATTTTTTGGCATTCTGCATCCAAGCAATAGAATACTGAATTGCCCGAATACATTAATGTATTGATCAAATACATTATTAATATTATTATTATTGCTATTATAATTATGCTTACCGCACATGTACACACACACACACACACACACACACACACATACACACAATAACTGATAGTGACAAAGACTTAGTTTCACATTGGAGAGAGAGCTGTCTGTATCATGTAAAGATCTATCAGCGTACAACAAACTAATAGAATGGATAGGTATTAGATGAGGAGCCTACAATCAAAATTATGAAGTTACTGTTTAAGGCTTTCATGTAGTGGTAAATTTTGAGATTTTGGTCTAGTTTGCTTTCATTTCTTCTTTTACTAGTTTAAGCGAAAGAAAACTTCTAAAATACACATTTAGATAGTGCTTGTTTTAAGCCTAGTACTCTCCATCTGTTTGCATCTATAGATTTCTTCTAAATTAACCAAAACAAGCTAATCTGCATATTAAACATAACATTTCAGGGATAAAGACTCTTGATGTAAATAATAAACTGGGAAAGTTCTGTGGAGATATGCTTAAGTTATTTTGTTTATCCTATTCACCTGCAGTGCATTGTCAAATGTATGCAAATTAGCACATTTTAATTAGTTAATGTCTAATTTGCATATCATTGTGGCGATTGCGATGTTATTAAACACAAATTTTACTGTATTCACTTGTAGTGCCTCCATTAAGTACAGTGCATTAGCCTGTATGGCCATGATATATTGCCTTAGCTAAATGACTTATTACATTAGCATCTGTGGGGCATCCTCAAATGGAAGGTGGAGGAGCACAAGGTCTCTAAACATCCACCAGCTCCGTGATGTCGTCATGGAGGAGTGGAAGAGGACTCCAGTGGCAATCTGTGAAGCTCTGGTGAACTCCATGCCCAAGAGTGTTAAGGCAGTGCTGGAAAATAATGGTGGCCATACAAAATATTGACACTTTGGGCCCAATTTGGACATTTTCACGTAGGGATGTACTCACTTTTGTTGACAGTGGTTTAGACATTAATGGCTGTATGTTGAGTTATTTTGAGGGGACAGCACATTTACACTATTACACAAGTGGTACAGTCACTACTTTTCATTGTAGCAAAGTGTCATTTCTTCAGTGTTGTCACATGAAAAGATATAATAAAATATTTACAAAAATGTGGGGTGTAGTCACTTTTGTGAGGTACTGTAATTAAGACTTTGGATGTGACATCATGGATGTGAGGAAAGGGTGAGCCCTCTTCAACAGCCCACTTTGCCATCCACAAAACAATTACCAACCTGCACAAAGGGTGTGGCAACATTTATCTTTGCATGAGCGTCAGAGTTACGAGAGTTAGAGGGCATGATGGTAGTGGAGTCAGCTGTACTTCCTGAATAATTGTCAGTTTGACTGCTATCGCTGATTTAGACTGGCCACTTCCACCCATGTCTTATGATTAACATACAGAACACACAACAAAGACAACAGGAAGGTGCAGTGTGGCAGTAAAGTATGCTCAAACAGCAAGAGGATTTGAGACAAAGAAAGTACTGTAATATTACGCATGGCCGAGACGGACTTGGTTTACCCTCCTATTTCAAAATTCTTTTAAAATAGGGTTATGCTAAATACCAACTTACTTATAATAAAGCCAGGGAAAACACCACCATGGCAGCCGGAGCCTTTTACAATAAAGCTGGAAGAATTACCACCGTGGTGGCAGGAGCCTTTTCCACAATACAGCCGGGTGGCCAGAGGACACCTGCACCCTACACCTTTTACCTGCAGAGAAACCTACTCCCAGGAAGGTTGGAGATGCCACCTTTGGACCTCCCCCAATGGTGATAGCAGTCACTCGCATGGCCGTACTCAGTGACTCTCAACCCCAGTGGATTCACATCATTAGACTGAAACGGTGCCTGACTAGAACGAGCTCACCCGAGAAAGTAGAAAATTCACAAACAGCCTTCAGACCTCTTCTCGTCTCACCTTAACATGTACACATAGATTTTCTTGTATTTGCCTTGAGAACACATACAAGTAACAGGCCATTACTTGCATTGTCTGTTCAAGTGATGGGAGCTGTCGTAGATTCAAGGATCCCTGGGGGTTCCTTGCAGATTGGGTGTTATGCAAGGGAAGAATGTCTGCAGGTCCCATTGGAACCCAAGAGGGCATTGATAAGTTTACTCTAGGTTAATACTCTTCCCTCTCTGTTTCCGTGTTAACACTTTTTTCTCTTTGTTCCTTTGTTAACTCTTCCACCACTGCAGAAAACCAGTTTCAACCAGGTACGGACAGATAAAGCCCCTCACCATTTGCGCGTATTTCCTTATTTTCCCGAATACCATTTGCGCACATTCCACTGTCTTCTGAATACCATATATGGAGTTGATCCTCTCTTACATTGATATGCACTTCTTGTTTTATGCAAAAATGCCCTTCCGCCTAGCTAATCAACAGTTAACCCATTATCTCTGTTGTGTGTCAAGAATGATATATACTCTTTTTCTTTGACTAAAGAGAGAGCTTGCCATTTGAATTTTATGTGTCATTTGGCAACTCTGCCAAGCACTTGATACAGGAAGTGTGTAGCGGGGCGAGGCCACCTCCTTTTATCATGTACTTTTACTTTCTCTTTTCTTAAAAATCAGAACACGAGGATCACATTTCTAACAATCATGTACACAGGGAAGAAACAGCTTCTGTTAATGTTTAATGTGTAGTGGCTAAACATCAGAATGGGGAAAAATGTGATCTCAGTAACCTGGACTGTGGCGTGATTGTTGGTGCCAAACAGACTGGTTTGAGAATTTCAGAAACAGCTGATCTCCTGGGATTTTCATGAATAACCATCTCTAGATCTGGTTATACACAGAATGGTGGCAAAAAAATCCCACCCTGCTAGTAGTAGGTGTGTGAGTAGAAATGCAAGAGGTCAAAGGAGTTTTAACCTTTTGCATTTTTCTTGCTGTCTGCCTGTAACTTTGCACCCTGTTATTGGCTGATTGTAAAGTTTATCTGTACCCAACAAGCTAACTGCTAAATTGCTAGCAGTCACTGACTTTCCTTGTGTTAGATTTCACCCCACAGGAATCTACCGTGTACGCCTTTTCGATCTCCGTCATGCCTTTCAGCCTATTTTACCATTACCTTCTAGTAACTTTGAGTTACTTTTAGTTCTATGTTGCTATGAGCTAGAAAGTGTGGTTTGCTGCAGAGTCAGGCGTGCCTGGAGAGTGAACACAAACACACTGACAGATATGAGCGTGCTCAAAAGAGACTTCCTGCTTTATTCAGTCAAAACAGAAGTATTTATACACACTGTACACATTGATAACAGCATTGCGTGGACGGTTTCTACTGGTCCAAGTGTCAGACAGATTTAGACAAAACCCACAGCACATAGTTATGATACAAAATAAGTCCCATGTCATGTTGACACAGAAGTACATAATAATATAATCAAGGATAGCAGTTGATCAGCTTATTCAAAGAGGTAACTAAATGATTACATTTATCATATATTTGAGAGCAGTTCATAATATAAGTGGGTACATAATATAAAATATAAGATGATAAAAGAGAATTTCCTTTCAATCCTCTCTTTTATTCTACTGTAGCATAGGATAGACCAAAAGGAAATTCTAAGGTCAACATCACATCACCCTGTCATAGGAAAGTAATGATATGTCTGTTAGACCACAGAAGGAAACCGCTGAAACCACAGCCAGAGTTTCAGTGAGGAAGATTGTTACCATTGCTATCACCGTACTGGCCTGTCTGAATGGCAAACCAAACTTCAGACGTAGTTGGCAGGATTTGAACCTTTCGGAGACCCCAATGGATTTCAAGTCCATCGCCTTAACCACTCGGCCACAACTACATAAAAAGTCAGAATGTATTTCCATGCACTTTGTTTCAGAAATGTATAGGCTTCACTTAGGGACCCTGCTCAGGTATTTCGGCAACACCACAACAAAGCAGCGGAGTTGGTTCCCTTGGCAACCGTCTACGCACAGTGCCATTAAATCAAGCCTGTGCTATCATTTGAAGCCTAGAATTGGCAGCAATGAACAGTTATTAACCACAGTGTGGCAAACAGAATCTTCAAACTGATTGTAAGCATCCAAAATATGCAGGGACCTTTCAGTTGATCTATTTAAATATCTTATCATGCGAAGACTACATTATGAAAAAAACTACATTGTGAATAGTCTTACAGACCTTCAACGAAGTGTAGCATGTCAAAATTGGGATTTGAACCCACGCCTCCAGAGGAGACTGCGACCTTAACACAGCGCCTTAGACCACTCTGCCATCCTGACTAACTGTTTCATAACTGTGCAAATTTGCAAAAAAGCTACACATTTCCTGAATTTCCCCTTGGGATCAATAAAGTATCTATCTATCACATTTCTTTTAACAAGCTCTCAGAAACCAATACCGCCTCCACAGAGGTGCAGCAAAGGAACCAAATGGCAGAAGTGGGATTTGAACCTAAGCCTCCAGGGGAGACTGCTACCTGAACGCAGCGCCTTAGACCAGTGGTCCCCAACCCCCGGGCCGCGGACCGGTACCGGTCCGTGGCTCAATTGGTACCGGGCCGCACAAGAAATAATTACATATTTCCGTTGTATGTATTATCTGAGTCTGAACGATAAACCTTTTATTTTGAGAAATGCCCGGATTCTCTCGGTTACGTCTTGCGCGCCAACATTGAACCCACAAGCGAGCAAAATGAGTAAGAAACAGATGTTTTTGGAAAGTTTCTTTGTGAAGGGGAAAAGGCCCAGTGAAGAGACTGGGGAAGAGCCCACTTCCAAGAAAAAGAAAGCTTTTAACAGACAATACCAGGAGTCCTACTTGAAATATGGATTTATCCCGGTAGGTGATTCCCACATACCAAGCCCGCTCTGCATAATATGCGGCGACCGGCTCGCTAATGAGGCAATGAAGCCTTCAAAACTGCTTCGCCACCTGGAGACCAAGCACCCTGGATTAAAAGACAAGCCCCTGGAGTATTTTGAAAGAAAAAAACATGAACACGACGGACAGAAGAAATTACTGAGGGCCGCCACATCAGTAAATGCGAATGCACTGAGAGCATCGTACTTGGTGGCTAACCATATTGCTAAGGCTAAAAAGCCATTCACTATTGGTGAAGAATTGATCTTGCCCTCCACTGAAGACATTTGCCGTGAACTTCTAGGAGAGGCTGCTGTTAAAAAGATCGCACAGGTGCCTCTGTTGGCTAGCACCGTGACTCGGCGCATTGAAGAAATAGCCGAAGACATTGAGACACAATTGTTGGAGAGGATTAATACATCACAGTGGTACGCCCTCCAGGTTGACGAATCTACAGATGTTGACAACAAGGCAATACTACTTGTGTATGTGCGTTATCTTTATCAGGAGGATGTGCATGAGGATATGTTATGTGCACTATCGTTGCCAACCAACACCACCGCCGCAGAACTGTTCAAGTCGCTGGATGGTTATATATCAGGAAAACTGAAATGGTCCTCTTGTGTCGGCATATGCACAGATGGAGCTGCTGCCATGACCGGACGGCTGTCTGGTTTAACTGCTCGGATTAAGGAAGTTGCACCTGAATGTGAATCTACACATTGTATCATTCACAGGGAAATGCTGGCAAGCCGAAAAATGCCACCAGAATTGAACAGTGTATTGAATGATATTGTTAAAGTTATTAACCACGTCAAAGCACAAGCCCTTAACTCGCGCCTGTTTGAGCAACTTTGTGAGGAGATGGACGCAGAGCAGAAACGCCTTTCTTATACACAGAAATAAGATGATTATCCCGAGGGAAATCGCTGGCCAGAGTGTTTGAATTACGAGAGCCGCTGCAAAGATTTCTCTCAGAAAAGAAGTCACCGCTGGCAGCACATTTCAGTGACGAGGAATGGGTCGCAAAACTGGCTTACCTGTGCGACATATTCAACCTGCTCAATGAACTCAATCTGTCACTTCAAGGAAAAATGACAACTGTCTTCAAGTTGGCAGATAAAGTAGCTGCATTTAAAGCCAAATTGGATTTGTGGGGACGGCGCGTGAAAAGAGGCATATTGGACATGTTTCAAACATTAGCGGGGATTTTGGGTGAGACTGAGCCTGAGACTTCATTCTCCCAGCTGGTGCACGATCACCTGTCTTTGCTTTTAAAGGAGTTCGAGCGCTACTTCCCAACCACAAAAGACCCACGAACTGGCAAGGAATGGATCTGCGACCCATTTGTCAACAAACCGGGTGAATCTAGCATGTCTGTGCAAGAAGAAGATCAGCTGCTGGAGATCGCAAATGACGGCGGACTTAAAAGTATGTTTGAGACAGCAACTCTGCCGGTGTTCTGGATTAAAGTCATGGCAGAATACCCTGAAATCGCCAACACCGCACTGAAAACCCTTTTGCCATTTCCGACATCCTATCTGTGTGAAGCAGGTTTTTCTGCAGTGACAGCAACCAAAACAAAACAACGGAGTAGACTGGGCATAAGCAACACACTTCGGGTGTCATTGTCTCCCATCACTCCCAGATGGGACCGTTTCGTTGCAGAGAAACAAGCTCAGGGCTCCCATTGATTTGTCGTTATCGTGAGTTAAAATTTTCATGAAAATAAAATGTTCTTTATATTAGTTTTTGTGGCGTATCTGTATCTTATTTTGAAGGGATGTTTAAACATTACCATAGCGACCAGAGTCAGAGAGTGTTAGGGCAGTGGTCAAGAGGAGAGGAGAGGAGTAGAGCTTGTGATTCTTAGCGGGCACACCAACATGCAGAAGCCTTATCTGACGGTTAAACCCGCCGGGCCGCAGTAAAATTGTCAAGCGTTGACCGGTCCGCAGTGATAAAAATGTTGGGGACCACTGCCTTAGACCACTCGGCCATCCTGACACACAGAAGCTGCTGCGTCGTGGACCATGCTCGGGTATAGCCAATACTTTCCAAATAAAGCACAATTAGATTACTTGAAATAGAAGCACTGATTTCATCAATAACTGCTACTCTTTGGGGCAGTCTCATCTGTGTATTTGACATTACTTACTTTGTGTGAGTCCTGCAATGTTTCTCTGCTGAAAGTCACCCTAATTGTAGCACATTTACTGCAGTTTTGAAGTAAGTGCTAACAAGCTGGGGCAACTTTCAGTGAATTTGGACACCACGAATGTGGAGTGTGAAACTATAATCACATTCATTGTAGTTGAGATTCTAACTAAAGTGTTTCTCTTTACACATATTTATTAAAATTCTTGCACACATCATTAGTGAAACATGTGTTGAAATCTCTTAGAGAAATACCTTTTAATACATCAGTGAGAGCATCATTTGGCTGTGTACCTACTCTCAATCTAGAGTGATAACTGCCTGTCAACGTGTGAATCACCTGGTTCATTCACATGAGTGATCTGCCATCATCACTTCTATTGTCACATTGGCTTCTGTGGGTTGGACTGTGAATCATCTCAAGTTATGATCAGACTCCAAGCATTGAAATGAACATCACTTGACTCAGGCCCCTCAGAATGAAAAAGTGGTCACTGGTAAACTCTCAGTGGACAACTTCTAGGATAGCAGGCATGCAGTGATTATATTTGTTGTGGTAAACATGGCAGGAGAAGATGTAAAGAAGAAGAGCACCTCTCTGTCTTATTGTCACAGTTGATATCCTATCAATGGTTCTGACCTTCCTGAATGGTAAGTACTATTTGTTGGGGTGATTTTGGATGATTCAAGCAACTAAAGATACTATATATTTGTTTACAATGTATTAAACGTTAAACAGTTTGGAGAACATCCAATACTTTCAAAAGAAACCACAATTCGATTACTTCAAATAGGAGCAACTTGATTTACAATACATACATGAGTGCTTCTCGTTGGGGCGGTCTCATCTGTGTATTTGACTTTACTGTCTTCTGTGACTGCTGCAATGTATCTCTGGGTGTTACCCCGATTGTATCACATATATTTCAGTTTTAATGTGATTTTCTGAAAGCGTTGATACCTTTCAGCGACAGCAATAATATGAAATATACAAATTCAGGTTAATCAGAATGAAAAACATTCCATTTGTTCAGTTGGCAAATTCTCAAGCAGGTATGTAACAACTGTGAACAGCAATTAATGCACATGAAGTTTCATTGAGGAAGATTGTCACCATTGCTATTCCCTGTACTGGCCTGCCTGAATGGCAAACCAAACTTCAGATGTAGTTGGCAGGATTTGAACCTGTGCAGGGAGACCCCAATGGATTTCAAGTCCATCGCCTTAACCACTCGGCCAAAAACAAAACAGGGCAAAAGGGACTGCTAGGCATGGGGGAAAAGGGGGGAAAGGGGGGTGGAAGGGAATGAGGGGAGGAGTGAAAATGTTATCCATCCTTCCATCTTCTACCGCTTATCTTTTTGAGGGTCACGTGGAACCTGCAGCCTATCCCAGGGAGCATCCGACACAAGGCGGGGTACACCCTGGACAGGGTGCCAATTGAAAGTGCCCGATGTCTCCTGGGATAGGCTCCAGGTTCCCTGTCACCCTGAAAAGGAGTAAGCGGTTGAGGATGGATGGATGTTAATTTCTATTCAGTTATTTGCTAGTGTTCTCAAAAATGACAGTTGATAACAGTTAAAAATTATCTTAATAACTTGTTTTTACGTCATTTTCTCCAGGATGTCACAGTTAAATACCCCACAAGCTCATCCCTAACAGATATACCAATAATACTTGATCAACATGAAAGACATAAGGATTTGTTTTCCCAAATCCTCTTTATTACATAAGCTCAGATTTAACATACAAACATCAGTAACCAACATCAGTAACGAATAAACATCAGTAACGTATAAACATCAGTAACATATAAACATC